TGCTAGAGTAAGTGTCTTAGCTGCCTTTCCTGTTGCTGGAACGCAATGCCTGACACCTATATTTAAGGAAAGAGTAGTTTATTGTGGCTCACGTTTGTTGAGGTTTCAGTCCATAGTTAGTTGGCTTCACAGCAGGGTAACATGGCAGAAGGACATGGTGGAGGAGAGCTGCAAAGAGCTGCCCAAAGCATGGTGATCAGGAAGCAGGGATGGATCAAGAGGCACCAAGGAGGGAGATGAACCCTTCCAGGCTACACCCTCAGTGACCTGCCACTTCTACTAATGACTTTTTTTTTGGTCTTTTTGAGACAGGGTCTCACTATGCAGTTAGTTCAGGATGGCCTTGAGCTCACTCTGTACCCCAGGCTGGTCTTGAACTCACAACAATCCTCCTGCCTTAGCCTCCTGAGTGCTGGGATTACAGGCCTGCATCACTACCTGCCACTTCTGACCAGACCTTACCTCCTAATGGCAAGTCAACTGTAAACCCCAGTAATCCATCATCAGCAGTGGTTATTGCCATTGCCTCTGGGCATTTGCCTCCAGTTCCTTCAGGCTTCCAATGTACTCTTTGGTCATCCTGTAAAAGCCCACCTATGAGCATATGAGGATCTTGGGAGATCTTTAGTTTTAAACCATAATGGTCATCATAAAACCTACCACAGATTTGTCATCTTAGGCAACCAAAATTTCTTTTCTTTTTTTGTATTTTAGGGAAGGGTCTACACAGGGTGTTCAGGATCTCACTACTGGATCAGACTCATAATGACCTGCCTGTTTACAGCCTTCTGAGAGCTGGGATTACAGGTGTGCACCACCACACCCAATCTTAATTGCCATCTCAGTGTGCCCCGGGGGGTGGGGCCAAAACGGCAGGCTTGGTGAACCCTGGCCCCTGCACCTGCTTGCAGGTGCTTTAATCCACTGAGCTTTTTGGCCAGCCCTTATTTTCTGATTATTATGGATGCTGCAATTCTTAGATCAAAGCATTACCAACCTTGGTTCCTCCTGAAGCCTCTTTCCTTGGCTTACCTATAGCTATCTGCTCCTTACTTGGATTTTCCTTTGTGCATTTGCCTGCCTGGCATCTCTCTGCATGTTCTAACATCCTCTTTTAGAATAGTAGTCATACTAGATTAGGGTACAGCCTAACAACTGTATCTTAGTTGAATTACCTTTTTATTTATTTATTTATTTTTAAAATGTACTTTGGTACAGGGTCCCACTATGCTGTTCAGACTTGTAGTAATCTTCCTGTTTTCAACCTTCTCAGCACTGGGATTATAGGCATGCACCACCATGCCTGGACAGGGTGGCCCAGTCAACATGCCTGTGAGTGGAGCTGGTGTGGCATGTGGTGGCAGGGATTGAACCCTGTTACCTGTGCTTGCCTAAGCAGACACAGTCTGCTGAGCTATCACGCTGGCACTGAATTACCTTTTTGAGGATTCTTATCTCCAAATAGCATCACATTCGAAGGTATTAGATGCTGAGATATTGTGTTAGCTTTCTGATTAAACACACACTACCCAGTACCCACAATGTAAAGGAAGAGAGAATTAATCTGCTCATGTTTTCAACCCATAATCAGCTGACTCCAATGAAGAAGCCTCATGGCAGAAGGGTGTGGCACAGAAAAATTGTATATTTCATGGAAGTAGAAAATCAGAGCAGTGGAACAGTGCCAGAGTGGAATGGATGAGGAACAGAAACACAGATCACAATCCCAGGCCCCCTGACCTGCCCAGGTACACCTGGAGTATCCTCCACCAGTCTCCCGGGGTGAATCCTAAAGCCAATCAAATTGAAACTCCACTGTGAGCACCGTATCCCAACCCTTGTCAACTTGCTTCCTAAATATCTCTCTTTAAACCATACCTCATCTCTAAATGAAGACAATAGCAAGTTCATAATTCTGCCTAACATAGCTATCTCAGTGAAGCCTGAAATACCACAATCCAGCTCTCAGTAGTTGTAGCATTTTTCAAAAGTCCAAGTCTCTTCTGAGACTCAAAGCAAACTCTTATCTATGATCCTCTATATGAATAAAAAATAAATTACACAATCCCAAGGTACAATGGCACAAGATAAACATTCCCATTCGAAAAGGGATGAATAGAAGGATAAAAAAGAATTGGATCAAAGCTAGACTGGAACCCAGCAGAGCAAACATTAAATTATGTAGCTGTACACCTGGCCCTTGGGGCTCACGGTGGTGGGATGTGAGTTCTCACAGCCCTGATCAGCCCCCTCCTTGTGCTATTATTGATGGCAGCCTCTCTTCTGGCTAAGTCCTTTATTTCTCACAGCTTTCCTTAGCAGGCATTCCCTGTTTGTGGGTATCTCCAGCTTCCTTGCCTCCACTGCAAATTTGACTTCCTTCCCACCACTTCATGAAGTCCCTTTGTGGGGGCTTTGCCTGGCTTTGCTGACCTTCCTTGGAAATCATGATGAAAGAATTTCTGACCCCACAACTTTTGCATTCTGCATGCTGGTAAGATTGGCATTACACGGCCAATGCCAAGGTCTGCTCCCAGAAAAAGCCAGCTGCTCTGGGACCGTGGCTACAGCAGCCTTGAGGTGCTCAGCTTGCTAAACATGGTGAAGTGAATCCCGGGTAACTCATATCCTGCAAGGCTCTTGAGCAGGGGTTTCCGGGGACATTTCTTTCAAAGGAAAGTTTGACACTTTTGTACCCTGGAGCTTGCTGTGCACTGGGTCAGGTGCAGTCATAGCAACCAACCCACTTCTGTGGCAACAGCTTCCTGGCCATGAGACACAATACCCAGCACCCACAACTTAAAGAAGGAGATGTGTCATTTTCAGTTTTTCACTGTTTCAGTCCATTATTGGCTGCTTCAGGCAGAGACATTATGATGGAAGTGTGTGGGGCAGTGAAGCTGCTTAGTTCCTCATAACAACGAGTGAGAACAAAGAAACTGCCCGAGTAGAAGAGGCAAGGGGCCAAAGCAGGCCCCACGGCTGGGCCACACGACCCACCACTGGTGGGCCCCAGTGATCCACACAGTGGCATTCTACCTCACCCTCCAAGGCTCAACATTTTAGTTTGATGGGGGAGGTGTGTGGGCACCATTCAGCACATACAGACCAAATTGGATGGATTTTAAAAGTTAAATTCTATTCCTGATTTTTCTTTTTTTTTTAATTCCTGATTTTTCAAAAAAAAAAAAGGATTTTTATGGCATTCACTGCTAATAACAAAAAAAATCACAAAATATCTGTTTGCAAATAGCCTTTTCTCAAGGGTTTCTGCAGACTAAATTTCTTTAGAAAAGAAATAAATTTACTCATTCTTTTTTTTTTTTTTATCTTTTTGAGACAGGGTTTCACTATGTGGTTCAGGCTGGCCGGATGCTCACTTTGTAGCCTAGGCTGGTCTCAAACTCTCAATGATCCTCCTGCCTGAACCTACCGAGCGCTGGGATTGCAGGTGTGTACCACCACACCTGGCTTCCCTCATTCACTGTGGAACTATCACCTTTACCTTGAAAGTGCAGATAAAGATGACTTCTAGATTAGGAAGAAATACTGATGGAGACCTAGCACAGAAAAGGCTAACGCAGGTCTCTTCTGTTCATCCTTTTGAAGAGGCAAAACCAAAAACATAATGCATTTGAATATTTTGTGATGAGTTATCAGTAACTCCTCACTGGGTACAGGAATTTTTAAGGGAGTAGGACCCCAAACCACTTAACTGGTTACATTTAATCTAAAAGTGAGGTAAAATTATTAAATGTGGAATAGTGAAGGTGCCAAGATCTTAGGGCTGTGGGTCATCCACTCTGCTCTAAAGATGCATCTATTCTCTACCTGAATAGCAATGGTCGGTCACCTGCGTGCAGAATATTAATAAATCATTTGTTTTTATTAGAAACATAAACAACTTTTTTCTTAATGGCCTTGCTCATCTTGGTGCTGTATCACCCTTCACAAAGCCTAAGCTAGATGTTCACTGATAGATTCTAAATTAGGGCAACACTAGGGGATGGAGAAGATGGTGGCACTAAGAAAGAGGCTGGCAGGATCCAGATGTGGCACACACCTGTAATCCCAGCACCCCTCAAAACTGACACCCGAGGATTGCAAGGCTGAGTCCAGTTTGGGAATCTTAGTGAAATGCCAAGGCCGTCTCAAAAAACAAAAGGGACAGGGCCAGCCAAATAGCTCAGCGGATTAAAGCACCTACAAGCGGGTGAAAGGGCCAGGGGTCTGATCCCTGGGCCTGTTTTGCCGGCCCCACCCCCAGGGCACAGCAATTGAAACTGGGCGTGGTAGAATACACCTATAATTCCAGCTTTTGGGAGGCTGTAAACTGGTAGATCACTCTGAGTCCAATCTAGTAGTGAGACCCTGAACACCCTGTAAACCCTTCCCTAAAATACAAAATAAATAAATAAATAAACAAAAGGGGCTGAGGATATAATTCTATATAAAGGCCCTATCTTCATTTCTGGCTCAGGGAACAAAGTGGCTGGAGAGAAACAGTTAACAGAATCATGGTGCAATCAATATTTTCAGCTCTTTAAAAAAATGTGTATAATCGCATCTTCTTCCCAATACGAGTCAAAGCATCACTTGTATTTGCCAGATATTATTCAGCGTGCATGCAGGGGTACTTTCTCTGTGAAGACTAGAGTGCCTTCTACTATTTGAATATCTTAGAAAGTTGCAAACAGTTGCTACTCCATGAGCAGAAGCCTCCATGAATGTGGAAGCTGGGTGGCTGCCTGGCCAGGCATCAGGAGGGCCTGCTCTGAGGATTTGGAGTCTCTGAGTCTCAAAGAACAAGAACTGTCTTCCAAGAAGTAGCTTCAACAGCTGGGCAGAAATTATTAGCAGAAGTTTTTTTTTTTTTTTAACCTAAGACAACAACATTCTCTATCTTTGAATATCAGCTTTTCTTCTTCATACTTCTTCTATTCCAAAAAATGTAAAAGAAAAAAAACCCACTAAAGTATTATATTTTATGTTTTACTTACAGTAGGGTTGGTCCGCTGTGTACTCCTCCAAATGCGTCTTTGTCGATAACTGTCAGGTATCTATTCTTGTTTAGGTAACTAAACAGACAGTGACAGAGAGAGAGGAAAAGAGTGAGTTAGGTGGGCTTAAGCAATCATATCATGTTAGTGCAAATACTGAAGTAAAATGTGAACGTGGTCTCCCTAGTTATTAACTGTTTTTTACGAATCTAGAAGATACTTTTCTAGTTTAAGAACTCGAAACATTCTGTGTTCTAGTTGTGCAAAATGTATATGTAATTATGGAAGTTGTCTCTCAAAATGAACGTGTTTATGATCTAATGTGTGTATCTAAATTTCATCAAAGTCATCTAGCTGGGTGTGGTGGTTCACGCTTGTAATTCCAGCACTCAGGAGGCTCAGGCAGGACGATCACTGCCAGTTCAAGGCCAGCCTGGAGCACAAAGCGAGTTCAAGGCCAGCCTGAACTGCATATGAGATCCTGTCTCAGAAAGGGGGGAAAAGTTGTCTAGATTTCTAATTTCCCTGGCCAGTGGATTGTGTTTTCTATCTTCTTCACTACCTACTGGTTTTAATGTTTGTTTTCAATATCGATCAGTATTCACATCTGTTTTTGAAGACAGGGCTTAAGTCAGCAATGAAATGGAAGTGTTAAAGGTGGTGGGTGATGACAGAGACTGTGAAAGATTCATATTTTTGAGCAGGGATGCCTGAATAAAAATATAGCATGCCAGTTAAATTTAAATTTTATTATTTTTTTAATCTTTAGAATTTGACTGCATCAAATTTTAGTGTAAGTATTCCCCATGCAATTTTTGAAATGTTTGCACATAAAATAGTTATCTAATGTTTACTTGAGTTTCGAATTAAGTTGACTGACCTGTGTGGTGTATAACAACACTATTTTTGGTAGTCAGAGGAGGTGTTCAGACAAATAAGATTATAGCATATACCTTCAGTGGGAAGGATTTGGTGGATACATTGATCTTTCCATTTTGAAAACACTTCAGCCATTTGAGAGTTTTATATTGTTGAAGCAACTCAAGTAGCAAAGTAGTCTGGGAACCAAATTTCATCCAAAGGGATAAGAAACTGGCCTCCCCCTATAGTATTTTAAGAGGCCAAAGTTAACTAAAGGTGAATAGAGCTCATATGCATTTGTTATAGATGATCCCAATTTACACATTAAAGGTAATTCACAGGCTGAGGAAGTGGCTTAGTGGTAGTGCTCACCTACACATACAGGGGTTGGATCCACGGCACCACAAAGAAAACAACACTCTGTACCATATGTATTGTTTTATGTCACTCTGTTTCCATCTTTGTTTTTGCAATTTGTATTTGCTTTTGTTTTTGCTCTTTAAAATAAAATAAAATGTAAAAAAAAAAAAAAGACTCATTCCTAGTCTTAAGCACCATGGATGATGCAAAATGAGCGCAATAAAGACTCTAGGGTGGTCTGCTTAGATACAAATAATGCTTTAACTACTGTAATCAAAAATGCTGTTAATGTTTAAATTGTAATAATTTTATTACAATAAAAGACATTGTCCTTCATTTCTCTCAAAACAATGCTCCCCTCTTGCTTTCAACATTCTTGTCACGTTCTGGGGCAATTCTGGAAATCCTTTTGGATAATGTCTTTAGTTGCCCTTTTGTGGTTGCTTTAATGTCCTGAATTGATTTAAAGCACTTCCCTTTCATGGTCTGTATGACTTTGTGAAAGATGCCAAAGTCAGATCGTGCAAGATCTGGTGAATAAGGTAGTCAAAGATACACAGGAATATTTTTAAATTTAATTTTATTGGTACATTTTACGTCTACATGATGATAATATGCATCACATGGAATTTGTACATGATATAGCTTGATTGTTTTATCCCATTTCCTTCCCCTCCCTCAATCCTTCTTCCTCTCCTTATTCATGTAAGATTTGTTTCCATTTTCCCTTTCATTCTCTTCCTTTTCCCTTCCTTCCTTGCCCCTTCCCATATGAACACTTTGTTTTCCTCTTTCACAATGTCTATTATGTATTTTGGTCCGTATTTTCTCTTTTAGTTTCTCATACAAGAGAAATCATGTAATATTTGAATATGTGTGTCCAATTCATTTCACTGAAGGGTATGGCCTGAAAGTACACCCCTTTATCCAGAAATGCCTCAAGTTTAGTTTTCTTTATGGCAGAATAGTACTCCACTGCATATAACCCCCCCCCCACATCTTTCTTACCCATTCTATAGTTGATGGGCACTTTGGCTGTTTTCAAGATGTAGCTATTATAGACTTTGCTGCTGTACACATGGATGTGCATATATTGTTGTGGAAAATGATTTTAATTCTTTCAGGAAGGTGCCAAGAACAAGCAAAGCTGGGTCAAATGGTTTTTTGAGGAATTTATATAGTGGTTACACCAGTCTACACTCCCACCAACAGTAGAGAAGGTTTTCTTTTTTTGCACAGACCTGCCAACCTTTGTTATTGGTTGACTTCTTAATAATAGCCTCTTTTTTCGGGGGTGAAATGAAACCCCAGTGTTGTTTATATTCACATCTCTTGAATGACCAGTGATGTTCAACATTTGTTGATATATTTATTTGCTGCTTCTAGTTCTTCATCTGAGAAGTGTGTATTGATTTCAGATGCCCTTTTTTGATTAGGTCTTTAAATGTGGGGGAGGTTGATGTTTTTTTTTTTTTTTAGTTCTTTATATATTCGCAATATTATTCCTTTGCCTGAAGAACAGCTGACAAAATTTTTTCCCCCACTCTGTGGGTTATGTCTTCACTCTGTTCATGGTTTCTTTTGCTATGCAGAAGCTTTCTGATGCAATCCCAGTTCTTCATTCTTCTTATTTCTTACACAGTTTGGGCTTTGTTCATGAAGTCTTTGCCTACACCTATGTCTTCGCGAGTTCTATCTATTCTACTTTCCAGCAGATTTAGTTTTTCTGTTTTAATATTTAGATCTTTATCTATTTTGGTTTTACTTTTATTCTGTACCTTTTTTTATGAGGCTTTCTGTTGGCTGGTTCTTGGCTGACACATTTACTGTATTTTTTTTTTTTTTTAGCTCACACATTATACAGACACTGGTGAAAGAGGACTTCCAAAACCACTTCAGAAAGTGGCAGGAAAGATGGGATAAGTGTGTTCAAAGCAAGGAAGAATATTTTGAGGGGAATGAATGGAGGCATGTGCTACTATACCTGGCTTAGGATAGAAAATTCTTATGGATGATAGTTAATAATAGTGTGACTGAGGATTTTCCAGAGCCCTCACAGCTGAACAGTTCTCTGGCTAATTGTATCCAGGTGAGATTTTGCTGCAGGAGTGGGAGTAACAAGAATTTTATCAACACCAGTGTTGGAGGTCTATCTTCCCCTTATGGGTAGGATGCAGGACGAACCAGGTAAGAAGCACTGAGGTGCACATGTGATATACTGAGATCTTACAAATTGGTAAACATTTCAAATTTTTTAAAACTAGACGTTAAAACTACTTAATCTAAAACAGCCATTGCCAGTGTCTTTCCTTACGATCTTTATTTCTTTAATGGAATTGTCCAAATCTGCTATTACTTAGGTCTTTGTTGTTCTGTTTTTACTTCTTTCTTGTCTTCCCAAGCAAGATGAAAGTTCTACTTTTTTCATTGCTGCATGCCTAAGTTCAGTACCCTATCACTATTTCATGGATGGAAATTGTGATTGGTAAAACATATTAAACCAATAGTTTTTCCCTCTGAGAGAGTGAGGTAGGCAATGTTAATAATCTCTGAGGATGGCTTTAATAACAGAATGAAAGAACAGAAGACTTAGCATATGGTATGGCTGATTGGCCAACAGTGACCTTCCTGATGGCAGTGATTACTGAAGCACCTGGATTTTAAGGGGTTGGAACAGACATTGCCTATCCGAGTAGTAGCTAGACACTCAGCCTTCAAGATGCATTAGTTCGCTTTTGTTATTGTAACAAAACACTTGGAATAGTCAACTTAAAAATAGGAACGGTTTATTTTGGTTCACAGTTTCAGAGGCTTTCATCCTTGGTCACTTGGTTCCATTGTTTCTGAGCCTGTGTTGAGGCAGCATCTTATGGCAGGGGCACATAGTACCTGGGGAAACTGCTTACCTCGTCATGGTTAGGACGCCAAAGAGAGAGTAAGAACTGCCTGAGCTCCCAGAATCCTCTTCAAGGACACACATCCAACCCAACTTCCTTGTACTAGATTCTACCACTTAAAGGCTTCACCAACTGCTAGTTGCATGAAGCTAAGGGCCAAACACATGAACAAGGCATTGTTAACGTCTGATTCAGAGAGTCGATCTCATGCAAGTTTAAAGACTCACTGAGATGCCAAGTCATTCAATCAGTGCTTTCCCAGTGGATTATTGTCATGTAAGACTCCAATCACCAGTCTGTCCAGTTTGATTTCTTCAACCCATTATGCTCATGAAGATCTTTGATAGTTGAAATTCTCAAGAGCCACCTTGGAGAAAACAACTGGACAGAAAATCTTGAACAGCACACTTTTTTTTGTCAGAAGATGATAAAGCCCAGCATAAGGGCCACATTGGATGCAGCTCTCTTTGTATCCTTTGGAATATGTAGTTTACAGATCACATTCTGTTCCCAGACTCTTGAAAACCAAATAAAGAGCTGGGAGTTCATCACAAGTTATCCTCTTCCTCTCCAACTCCTGCAAGTAAAAATCGGCTTGCTCTAATCATTAAAAATTATTATAGGACTGAAGTATTGTTAGTCCAACTCTGCAGTGTTTTGATTTGATATTTAATATACCCTTGAGGATAAGGAGACTGGTTGATAAGCCTTGCAGTTTACCAGAAACACTGCAGAAGACTTCAAACTGGGAAAGCCAGCCAGAGTCCAGGAGGGGAGAGGAGGAGGAGGAAGCGGAGGTGCAGCCAACTTGAACAGAGGTGAACGGACCTTGCAGGAGGCTGTGTTCTCAAAAACCAACACAGTTGTTTAGGTGTTTAATCTCTTGGAGATAATTAGGTGCCTAAAAGTGAAATCACTCTGTCTTTTGTAGTTCTGAGGGCTGTTTTGGTTATGTGTTAA